GGAATTCTGGGAATTGAAGTCCACAAGTCTTAAACTTGCCAAGTTTGAAGACCTTTGGACTAGAAGATGACCTCTGAGAACCCTTCCAGCCCTAGATTGATGTGCTGTTTCAAAGAATCTTCTGAAGCCAGGGTTTGTGTCCTTCTTTCCTCTCCTTTTTTTGTCTCTCCCTCCCTCCCTCCTTCCATGTATCTATCCATCCATCCATTCATCCATATATCTCATTCATTTTCTCCTCCCTCCCTCTTTCTTTCTCTCCCTTCCTTCCATCTCATCTTTCTTTGTCTATGCCTCTTCTCACTTCTCTCTCTTTCTCTGTCTTTCTCTCTCCCCCCTCTCTTTCTCTCTCTTTCTCTCCTTCCCTCTCTCCTTCTAAAGCTAGGAGAGGAGACCCACCTGAAAAACACACAGGCTTCCAAGCACCCACCTGAAACAACAAGAACCCCCCCCCCCCCACACACACACATGCTTTCAAACGCCCAGTAGCATCGCTCATTATGTGGGTTCTTCCCGGCCAGTCTCTGGGCAGGCAAGGCTTCTGGGTCCAACAAAGGGGCCACGGGAGGGACTTCCTCCCCTCCCACTTTTGGGGAAAGTTAAGGGCTTGGAAAATAAAACTAGGAGAGGAGATCCACCTGAAACAAACACACAGACACACACACAGGCTTCCAAGCACCCACCTGAAATACACACAGACATGCTTCCAAGCACCCACCTGAAACACACACACACACACACACACACACACACACCCTTCCAAGAGCCCAGCAGCGTCGTGTCAGTACAAGGGTTCTTCCCAGCCAGTCTCTAGTCCCTCATTGCCCAAAAAAGTCATCAGGCAAGGCTTCTGGGTCCAACAAAGGGACCGCAGGTGGGACTTCCTCCCCTCCCACTTTTGTGGAAAGTTAAGGGCTGGGAAATTCAAGCACAGCATGTGCTGCAGCCTTGCCCCCCCCCCCCCCCCCCCACACACAAAAAGACGAGGCTGTAGGCTTTTTGCAGAGAAAATTATCGACCTCCAACTTTGCTTCTCCAAAGCGCTGCCATGGCCGTGTTCTAGGTACCAGCCATGCAGGTCCACCCCATTGAGCCCAGTGCACTGGAGAGTCTGAGTGCAAGTCTGAGCGGAGCAGTGCAGAAATCAATGGGGTGGACCTTCATGGCTGGTGCTTAGGACGCGGCCGTGGTGGTGCTTTGGAGAGGCAGAGCAAAACTGGAGGTCAGTAATTTTCGTTGCAAAAAGCCTACAGCTGCTGCCACTTCTTTGCTGGCTGGAACTGAGTTGGGAGCAGCAGTTGGAGGATCCTCCTTCCAGCAAAGAGGTGGAAGCTGGAGGCTTCTTGGGGGGACAGGGACACAGCAAGACTCAGCCAGGAGTCGGAAGTCAGCTCCCGCACCCTGCTTGTCGCATTTTGGTCCCTCTCTCTGCATCGAAGTACCTTAAAGGGACTGGCTGGGGCGGCTGCATTCCAAGTAGCAGCGGAGCGAAGGGAAGGAGGCAGAAAAGTTTGCCCAAGTCTTCTTCTCCTTTTCAGGCATACACAGAGCTTGAGGTGCACCAGAGGGACTTGCCAACGCACCTTCTCCTTGCAGAAAGTTCCAGCCTTACGTGTGCACATGTGAGGTCCCGGGACCTTCTTCTAGGAGACGGTGCATGGGTTACTGGCTCGGTTCTGGCTGGCAAAGCAGCAGCAGCTGGGACTCACCACCCTGTTCTTCATACCAGGGTGCACCCCATTGCCTGCTGTGCCAGAGTGGAGGTACTTGCCCAGGGTGGCAGTGAAGCTCTTTTTTGGAGCATTCGAAAAGCAGAGGCCGGTAGTTTTCAATGCAAGAAGCCTCCAGCCAGCCGGCTCAATTCTTGCTGGCAAAGAGACATCATTTGGGAGGCTTCTCGCACCCCTCCCAAAAAGAGGCAGTGGCTGCAGGCATCTCGCAGCAAGGGGGGCGCGATGTGGGCTGGCAGGGAGCCCAGTGGCTCTCAGCCCTGGCTTGCCTTCCCTGGCAGCCAGCCATGGGAGGAAGGTAAGGTCGTGGCCATGGACGACAAAAGAGGCAGTCGTAGGAGAGGAAGCGAGATTAAGGGCCAGGTCAGGGCCTCCAAACGAGGGGAAAATGGGTGACATTGGGAGAACGGGTGGCGAGTGGGTGGCAGCTCCAGGGCAAGGCTGGAGCTGGGGAATCATGTGTTCCCCAACCCAGCTGAGAGAGCTGGCGGTTCCAGGGCCTCAGGGAATAGCGCGTCCCTGGGGCCCCGGACCCCAGCCCAAGGCGAAGGGTCAGTGGGCAGCATGGGTGGCATGTATTGCTTACCTTTGGTAAGCTTAGCTGACCAGGCATCAACAAGGCAACCGGTGAGGCAATTAACTGGGCCATGTGGAGAAGGCAACATATATAGGGGGTGGGCAGGGCGAGCATCAAGCAGCTGAAAAAGAGCAGCGAGCAGCTGGAAGGGGCAGCTGGGGGCATGGCCAGTCAGAAGTCGCTACCACTTTGGCGACCTACACCAAATCCTTGCTACCAGTTCGCCTGATCCGGTGCAAACCAGCTGAAAACCACTACTGATGTGAACCAACCCCAAGGTTTAATTTTTATCTTGATATTGCCTAGTTGGAATTCACATTTTCTCTCTCAGCCCCCTCCCCTACTCACTGTTGATTACCCAAACTTTCTGTTTCAAAGGCATTTTATTTTAAGGGATCTAATAAATTATAGTTTTTCCCTTACATTTTGAATTGAACCTTGACCAGAGGTTTAAGCTTCTCATTAATCTTCCCTGTTTGCCACCTACATTGTGCCAAACAATTGATCAATATTGCAACTGTCTAAGACTTTGCTACTGGGGATCTTAATGACCTTCATTCCAGAATGGACTCCAACAGTGTTATTCAGAAAACAAATAAATCACTTTTTGTGTGTCAGGATTTGACTGACCACGTTTTAGAAATGTGCCAATTGGGGATTTTTTTTAATCTAGTATATATTGCCTCTATTTTATCTAGCAACCACTTCTAGCTAATAGGAACTCCTTGCAGGAAAGGTAGGATGCAATGTTAATTAATAGAAGCAGTAACTGGGTGTCTTGTTGAATCAATGACCTTGCTAGGAGCCGTCACCTCCAATGTTATATTTCCCACAGTAATTAGCCAGATGCCCTTGGAAGCCATGGAGATTAGCATCCATTATTGTTTTATCACTAGCATCTAGGCATCCAAATTTACAATTAAATGTTTAACATAATTTAAAACTTATATCTCTCAGATAATGGTCTAATGTTATAAAACATGGCTCTTCAGAAATCACACTATATAAGGAGATATAGCCATGCCATGCTTAAAAGATAACAGATAATCAGAGTTGGAAGGGCCCTTGTAGGTCTGCGGGAGCCATCTTTCAGTGCGCTTCATTTGAGATCTAATTCTTTTGTTAGTAGCTCTTCTGGTAAGAGCCCCATAATATTACATCTCCAGTTTGTTCTGATAACCAAAGAAGCGATTGATTGGATAGACCACTGGTGAATCACAGTGTTGGTGACATTGGTATATGATTTGCTTATTTTCAAGTATCACTGAATTAGCCTGGAAACAGAGGATGATAAAGTTTTAATTATATATTTGCCCCCTTGGAAACAATCAAAAGTGCAAAATGGAAATAAAAATGGAAATAAAAATGGAAATAAAAATTTAAACTAACATTTGCTAGTCAAAACCTGGGCAGAGTCTGGTAGCAGCTTTTGAACTAACAATGTTATTTAAGGCATAAGCTTTAATGAACTGCAACCTATTTCATGTGTCAGAAGCATGAAGTAGCTTGACTGATATATTATTTAAAGAGCTTGGAATGGGGAGGTGATGGGAAGACAGGATAGTTATGCAGATAGAGTTCCTTGGCATAAGCTTAAGCCTTAAAGTGTTGATCTCTGAAGTACTTCTTTTTTTTTTTTTTGCTATCACTGATCAATCACAACTTTCTACATTTGCTAGATGTTTTCAGGCAGAGGATTGATACTTGGAATCACATGCAAATTTTGAACAATGCATACCAAAAGTACATTGATCAATGAGGTTTCATTAGCTTCATCATGAAAATGTAATATTTTAATAAAATTAAATTAAATGTAAGACATACTCCAAAGGTATTTGGTGCATGTCGTTTTGGTTTTCCCTATGTAATCATATTGTTACGCATTTAAATGAGAATGGACATTTTTATTTGATACTGTTGAGAACATTTGTGAAATATATTTAGTTTAATTTTATATCAATTTATTAGACTCTATAACTTAAGAAAAGCCACTGATTTACTGTAGTAGTATTTCCAAATATACAGTGTTCTTTTGGGGCCCTAAATAATAGGCTTCATGAGTTATCTTCCTCATAAATATGCAGTAAGTAATTGGTTCATATACACTGGGTGGAGTTACAAGTGAGATTATACCAGTAGCTCCTTGTTTTACAATAACTGTACTATTATGAAAAGTAATTTTGTGAAATTATGGTTCAGGTACCTGGTTAATGAAAGAAACCTCTGGGTGTAAGTAATATTACAATAGATCTTGAAGTGTATATTTTTGTATTAACTAAAGATTATCAGAATGTGGATATATATATATTTCAGGAGAATAAAGTGTGTAGGGAGAGATAATCCTTTCCCTTTTTAATGCAATTGGAACTACTTAATTAGAAAAGGATATCATTGTTTGATTAGAATATTGTTTTACCCTATTATATACTTGCTTATCTAGTAATTTATGTGGCATATAGTTGAAAGCTAAGCAAAAGGATACGAGGAATTAATTCAGGAGAACACCTGATTTAGTCATAGTGGAAAGACTTCCTTTTAATTATAATAGAGCATCATCTGAAGAATTATTTAATAAAAAATAGCATTAAATTGTAAAGTTAGAATATAATGGAAATGCAAATAAATGAACCTTTCTTGTATTTTTATAATGAGGTTAGTTTTAAAGAATTAGTTAACTGAAGTTTATTTTGCTTTAGGCAACTCCACAAAGGATTCAAGGGTCTCAGTCATCAATGACCAGGGAATCTCCATTCCCTGCAGAATACCTGGTTGAAATTAACAAGATTTTGCTGGTTATAGCTGATGCTGAGCTCTTGCTAAATGCTCCAGAACTTCATTCAGCAATCTATGAAGACTTTTCTATCCAAGAAGATTCATTAAAGGTACTAGAACCTGAAATCTAATATTACAATTCAAAATATAAGAGAGCATTAACATTCTTCTCAATAAATGTTTTAACTCCAGTGCATGGCGGTATATCTCAAGATGCTTTCTGACTTGAAAAAAATGGGTTCTGTCTTGGATATGTCTTGATTTATAGGCACCTGGGTCTAATTTTTCTAGAATCATCACCAATCCTATCACTTGTTAGATTCAGGACATATAAAACAATTCATTTAATAAACTAAACACTGGATCATTTTAAAAAGCAGTGGAGAAGTTTGAAAAGGAATGGGAAAAAATTAGATAAAGACCATTGTGAAGTATGTTATTAGAAAGTTGTATTGGGCCAGATCAAACAAAATCCACACACATATACTGTATATTATATTATGTACTCCCTAATCTGGGAGACATGGTTTGGCTTCCAAAGTTACTAAGACCATCGTTGTTTTTGTTTCTTGAGCAAGCCTTAATGGTCTAGTTTGCTTATAATGTTGAGCTGTAATGGATGCCTTCAGACATCGTGCTGAGCCAAAGTAAACCATTTATACTGCATGCATATGCGTGCATCATTCTAAGCCATGAGTCAAATGATGAAAGATGTAAATATACTTATATACTGATGTTTGTTGCCATCTAATCAGGCTCTATTTTTCCAGCTGGCCGTTATCTTTGAGTGGATGCTAATTTTGCCTGGTATTTTTGTTTTACTGTATTACAGAATATAAAAGATATGTTGGATAAATTAGAGGATCAGATTGCTGTTATTCATGAAAAACAACCTGATGTTACACTAGAGGCATCTGGACCTGAAGCTGTTCAAATAGAAGATTCACTAACCCAGCTTAATGCAGAATGGGATCGAATTAACAGATTGTACAATGATCGCAAATGGTAAGTAAAAGGACTGTCTATATTTTGTACTTACAGTTTTTCACCAAGGAAATGTGATGAGTTAGGCAGAGAAGAGACTAAATCAGGTAGTAGCCATTTTGTAGCTCTACTGTCTCTGCAGTATAAACCAGCTGTGATAAGTTTGGATGTAAATAGGTAACATTTTAAAATATTATTTATAAAATATTGTTTATTTGCCAAAGTTGCTTAGCAAACGACTATGCAAACTATCAGGCAGGGAACCAAGAAATATTAATTTAGGTGGTGTAAGGAAACTATGTATTAAATTAAAAATGAAAATTAAAGTGGCACCATCATGTTCTTAACTATATGAAAAGCATGGAATGGAGAAAAACTTGACTCTTTTGTTCTCAATCTCTTTTTCTCTGCAAATTACAAAGCAAACCAGTTGCTGCATCTTAGACATTTCTGTTTCTTTTAGCATTTGATGATTTTTTTTAAAGATAAATTGTAGCTAGCTGAGACCTCTGTTTACTGGGATTTCTTTTAAGTCACAAGAATGTAGGCCAATTAATTCACGAGAATATAGGAATCTGCGCAAATGTCATGTACACTCTTTTCATTGCATTTTCATCCTTGTTCCCTATAGTTTTAAAGACTGCACCTGTAGAATTGCATCAGTCCCTAGCATCATCATTTGAACTTGTTTTCAAAAAGAGTTTTGTATTTGCTCTTTGTGCACTGCAGGCATTAGAAAAAAATTCTTCCTCGGTATTTGCAGACATTTGTGCCATGACTATATTTGAAGCTCCATCATTCATTTGGAAACTCAAATGATCTTATTAAATTAACAATGATGTAGGCAAACCTTCCCATTTTAAAAGAGAAATTAAACTTCATAGTCAATTGGTGAAATATAACAACCAGATTTCCTAGCTGATTCAAGGCAGTTCTTGAATCTCATAAATAATGTATCTTATTTTGCATTGTACTTAAAAGTAAGTAGGCTTCTTTAAAGCCAAGATTTTAAAGCCAAGACTTGTATGAATAAGTCTTTTGTAATATGGAAGAATTCTCCTGTCAACTTGGATACAAAAACAGTTTGGTTCAATTGTAGTTCTATCTCACAACTGGGAATAACAATATATCTCTAAATAATGACATAGAAAGCTATGGTTTACTATGTGGAATATAAATGTCCTCCTATTTTTCCTCATTGGGAAGATTTTGTTGCAGATTTTGTTGAGGAAAAAAACACTTTTTTCAGCTGTAATGACCTGAAAATTGTAATGTCTCTTTCACCCATGGAGCAGTGGAACAATTAGGTGTCTCTAGGCAAGAGACCCTTAAGACTTTCCTGCAGTTTGTTACAGGTTGTTCACTTTCCTCCTATCCAATTGCTCTGTTTCCTCTCCTTAATTGACAGATAATATCAGGAAGGACTCTTTTTCCTGTCCTTCCTTTCCCTTTTTCTGCCAAGTGATGGACAGTCATGACTCATAAAGTGGTGCCCCTGGAATGAATGATGGAATGATGGTCTACTTCACAGTGTTGCTTATGAAGCATAAGTAGGGGGGATGGATGGAGTAAATACTGGAGTTGTTATGCTCACATTCTTACCATCTTCACTAGAAATTCTTACGAAGGAAAGGCCTTCCCCCAAATGAAAAAGGAAACCATCCAAGTGCTGAAACAGTTTCTGCTGATGGTTGGCTGAGCAGTACACCTAACCTAAAATAATAGGAGGAGGTGGAAGAAGAAGAGGAAAAACATGTTTATATTTTGTAGTAGGATGGATGAAACATTGTAGTGGAACTTTTGAGTAGCTTGCCTTATCAGATAGCACTGATAAGAATATTTCTTTTAGATCCTATGGAGACAGATGAAATGTCTGTTGGATTTAGTTGTGGGCCTTTCATTTTGTTTCCTGGAAAAGAGTGATAGAAGACACACTGAAACATTCTGTTGATTAGTATGCTTGGCATAGTGGAAGGCTTACTCTCTGAAGAAGGATAGTATCTGTTCTTGGTGCTTATTAGAACCATCATTTAATTTTAGCTTGTTACTCTTTGCTTGTAAATCTGGCAAATGGCACCAGTGACCTTAAGAAGTTTATGTCTCATGTTTGGCTTCCACTTGGAAAAAAAGTGTGCTACATGAATATTCATACACTCACATATTCAGCAACTTGGTTTCCTCTGAAATTTGACTATATGAGGAATGAATGAGGACCAACTCTATGGCTAAGTCTGTAAAATTGATTCTTTTTCCTGGAGTTCCAGCTAATAGAACTAGTTTATTGTGATTCATGTGTCCCAGAGTTATAATTAATCTGGGTACGTTTGCTTCAAAGTATAGACAAACTGATTTTAAATAGGAATTAAATTTTGTAAGTTGCCTGTATGCCTGTGCACTCTCTTTCTGTTTCTTTATGAGTTGAAATGATAGAAATTATAAATGGATGGATCAAAAGTGTGAATAGTGCTTCCTTTATTTAAAGTTGGGCTTTAAATATCTTTGTTTTCAACACGAATAAGCCAAAATAAACTATTTGCCAAGATTGCATCTGTTGTCTTCTACATATGTTCACACACTCACTTGCATACACATTCTATTTTGCAGTCTTACTATGTATGTATTCTGTAGTGCAAAATTATCTTGTTTTACTTCCTTATTTTTTTACCTTCCTCATTTTTTCTTCTGTTCTTCTTATTCCATTTAGTAGTTTTGATAAGTCTATAGAGGAGTGGAGACAGTTCCATTGTGATCTAAATGATCTCTCACAGTGGCTAACAGAAGCAGAAGGGTTGCTGGCTGAAGCCCATGCTCCAGATGGCAGCCTGGATATAGAAAAAGCCAGGATACACCAGCAGGTAACTGATTACTGTGTATTACTGTGTATTAAGCCCAGCACTCTAGTTAGAGCCTTTAATTCTACTCTTGTCACAGAAGAAAGTGGCAATTGTCAGCTTTTGTAATGTTGGCAGCTGGGAGTTGTACAAAGCAATTAAAAGACTGCTTTGCAAAAGGCATTGGTGCTGCCTTCGTAGCCCAGTGTGGATGCTTCAAAGGTTTGTGCATATATTACATTGATAACACTTCTGTTGAGACTGCCAGTAAATCAAAGGGGCCACTGTTATGCCCCAAAGGTTGTGCCATAAGATTTTGCCTGAATGCAATGCTTAGCCCTATTAAAACATAAAGTCAACCTACATGAATTGTATTGAGGAATTATTTGCATAGTTTCCAAAGTTGTTGATGAAACAAATATAGTGAATTGAAAAAAGTTAGAAGCCAGTGCTTTAGTTTCATTTGGAGAGGGGTGCTATATTAAACACACTTACTAGTAGGGTTTCAGACCTGTTGTTCTAGAGGAGGCATTACATCTGCTGCTGAGAAAGTCTTGCTCCTAGTAGAGACAATTGTATCTTTTTCCTCATATGAAGCTGAGGGCAGGACTTTATTTTACGGAGGTTAAGTCTGTGTGAATGAGAGGGGGAGCATGTTTGTGATAAAGGAGAAAGTCTTTGCAATATCAGAAACTCAAGTCGCTGAGAATATTGAAGAGAAGATATAGCAGGGGTGTCAAACTTGCAGCTCACAGTCTAGATGCGTCATGTGCTGGCCACTCCCATCCCCGTTTTAGCAAAGGGGAAAAATACGTCACGTGATGACAACATGACAACACACGTTTGATACCCCTGAGATAGAGCATGTTGGGCAAAGTTTAGAAGCAAATAGGTAGCCCTTTGCAGAAAGAGATACATGGGCTCCAAACTAATGATCTTTACTAGTAGTAGATAATACTTCTCAGGTTTTTTTTTTAAAAGCAGCCTCACATAGATCAGGAAAAAGGAAGTCCAATCCAGATGCACGAACAGCAGTTGTCACAAATCCATCTTCTTGCAGCAGAGATAACATCTGATATAGATATTCTGGGTCAAAACTGAAACCGATACATACATACATGCATACATACATACATACATACATACATACATACATACATACATGGTATTCAGCTTTGTTCGGGTATTTTCCCACGTCATTATAGTTGTGCTTTTAAAGTTGTAGCAACCTTTCGGCAGAATCTCATCTGCCATCATCAGGCTTCTGTATTGTGTTCGTCTGTGAGTCAGACTTTTACAGTTGTTTCAGTTTTAAATTTGGGGCTAGCCTACTGCTGTGCCAGAATGTTTTTTTTTTCATCCTGATTGGTTGGGAGTCTTGGTCTGTGTTCATTGGTCTTGGAGTTTGCTGTGTTCTGCGTGATTGGTGTTTCTAATATTTTCTGTCTGTTTTGGGGCTTTTTTTGTCTTGATTGGCTGGCAACATTGTGTTCCTGTATTGGAGGCTTTTAGTGCAACTTGGCTCCGAGTAAATGGACGGCTATCATTTGTTAGGAAGCTAGGTTTCATCTGGGTGCCTGGTTGGGGTGTGTTTGAGCTGGAGGTATCTGGGGGGATCTGTTTGTGCCCAGGTGTTTGGCTGGCTTGTGGTGTGGAGATTTTTTTTGTTTGTGAATGCAGGCTTCCAAATAATTGACAGTCTGGTGGAATCATCTCTTCTATTCATGCTTTCAGGTCTTTTTTCAATCTCTATGGCTTCTCTGATAATTCTGTGGCTGGGCTTTTCTCTAGCGGCTAGGGTTTTGGTGCCATTGAAGTTGATGCTATGACCTGTGGCTTTCATGTGTTGGACTAGTGAGGAAGTGTGTTCCAGATTTTTTACTGCATTTTTGTGTTCATCCAGGCGGGTACTTATTCTTCTATTGGTCTGTCCAAAGTATGTGGCTGGGCATGATGCATAGGGGACTGTATGTATATATATATACATTTTCAACAGGAACTTGAAGAGGGAATCAGCAGCCATAAACTCAGTTTCTCAACACTGAATAGAACAGGAGAGGAAATAATCCAGAAACTTTCCAATACGGATGGAAACTTCCTGAAAGAAAAACTAGCTGGGCTGTATAAACACTGGAAAAACATCAATGCTGAAGTCATGGAAAGGCAACAGAGGTAACCAGACCCCTTATGATTTGAGGATATCTTAGTAGCAGAGGAGATAAATTTCTTTAAAATTTGGAATGCCATTGTGGGTTTTCACCAAGAAAATCCACAATATCTTCTCATATCTTTATTCTAAAAGATTTTCTAAGGCAGTTCCCTAAAACAGCTTCATAGCTGTTATTATTCTATGCAATCTCCAGATTTACTGTGTAAAGGAGATGGGTGGTTTCTAAATGTGATTTATTTAAATATAATGATATATATGATATAATAATGATATATATCATATATATATCAATCATATATCATACATCATGTACTCAAGCTACATTAATATTCTATATAATATAACATGCATTTATTTCATGTTTTCCCTGCTTTGGAATCTGAATTATTAATTTACATGATTTTTTTGTTTACTTTGATGTTTCAACTGAAGAAAGAATATTCTGAAATTGTTGGAAATTTCTGAGTGCTTCTTAGTAGGCAGGTGGTTAATAATTTTGAAGAAGTCTTCTATCCAAAATGAATAAAATCCAAGTAAAAACAGATTTTGCATTAACATAAAATGTTAACACAAGTATGCTGGAAAGCATTGGCATTCAAAACTATTTCTTCCTCAAAACCTAAATGATCCCTACTATAAAGTCAATTTCTCCTATACATTGTCATATTCATACAGTAATATTAATATTAATCAGTTTAGAGCCAGTGTGGTGTAATAATGGTCAAGACACCAGGCTGGTACCAGGAAACTTGAGTTCTAGTTCCGTCTTAGGCATGAAAGCCTAAGTGACTGAAGGCCAGTCACTCTTTCTCAGCCCAATTTACCTCACAGGGTAATGTTGCAGGGAAAATAGGAGAAGGAAGAAATACTAGGTATGCTTGCTACGTTGAGTTATTTATAAAAGTATTAAAGGCAAGATGAAAAAAAAATCTTTACAGATACAGATAATCAGAGTTGGAAGGGACCTTATACGTCACCTAGTCCAACCCTACACCATTTCTGACAAATGGCAGTCCAATCTCTTCTTGAAAGTCTCAAGTGATGGCACTCCACAACTTCCGAGGGCAAGCTGTTCCATTGGTTGATTGTTCTCACTGTCAGAAAGTTTCTCCTTATTTCCAGGTTAAATCTCCTTGTTCAGTTTCCATCCATTATTCCTTGTCTGGCCTTTGGGTGCTTTAGAAAATAGCTTGACCCCTTCCTCCCTGTGGCAGCCCCTCAAATATTGGAAGACTGCTATCATGTCTCCCCTGGTCCTTCTCTTTACTAGGCTAGCCAAGCCAAGCCCAGTTCCTGTAACCGCTCTTCATATGTTTTAGTCTCCAGTCCCCTAATCATCCTGGTTGTGGTTCTCTGTACTTTTCCTAGAGTCTCAACATCTTTTTTATAATGTGGTGAAAAAATAGTTTTCATACATTTTCTTAATCTAATGGAAAGTTATGTGTCAATTCGTTGAATTTTTCTATCAGGGTATTAAGTCGATGTTTTCATAAGACTGCTAAGTATTGCTGAGAAAAAAGTATTTTAAAGACTTAAAGCCTACATTTGAAGACTTTCTGGATAAGAAATGGAATCAATATGAATTTGCGTCATTAAGGCATCTGGTTCATTCAGTCTTGTTTTTAATATTGTAATATATCATTTCCAAGATGCTTAGTAAGCTATAGAAGGAATATTTTGCTTTTATATTTATTTCAATATTTATAGTGATTTTGTTTCATATTCTACCTTGGGTTTTTGTTCAGACTGAAAGGAAAAAATCAGCAGTTAATAGATTTCACAAGAAAACTAGAAGAAATTAGTTGCTGGGTGGAAAATGTAGAAAATTCCCTGGATGAGAAGCCTGCAATCAGTCTTGAAGAGAATTTACAAGAATTAATGGCAAGTAACGTTAAAAATATTAAGCATTTTATTTATTGTATCATGTTCCTTTTCATTGTTGTTGGATAACATTTAGGACTACTCAAAGTGTCTGTTGGTACCACTGGATGAAAAAGTATAATCTGTAAGTTTCATATATAAATATGATTTCCATATACTTGTTAAACTATATATTTTTCTGTTTAGCTTAATGTCATGTGTTATGATTAATAAAATTATGGTTTATTTGTAATCTGTTCACAACACCAAATATTGGTTACTTACATTTTTGCAGCCATAGAATCTGGAACTTGCTTCAGAATAAATTCTTCTTTGGATTTTTATCGTCAAAACCACTTAATGCAATTTTTTTTGTGCTCTTAGAGTTTGAAGTATATTACTGCCCTGATTATAAGAGATAACCAATTGTTAATGAATGAGTGACACTGTCTTTACTCATTTAGGGTCTGATTAAGGAAATGGATATACAAGGAGAGAAACTTAACTGGCTAAATAGAAAAGAAGCAGAGGTACTTTCAAATACAAGCATTGGGCCTCAGGAAAGAGACAATATTGCTAATAGACTGAAGACCCTGAATATTAAATGGAAGAAGGTATACATTTTAATCTGCGTGCATTCAATATTGTTCCTTTAGTTGTGTTCATGCAAGATAGTCATGACTATGGGACAGAATTGGATAACTTATTAGATAAAGTTAGTGTTAAAATTCTTAGTAAATTTTTCATTGCTTTAAATTTACGGCAATAATAGTACATTGGTGTACAGCACCATGTATATGTTCAAATGGACCTATCTTTGAGAATTATTTATTGTATTGTATTATTGTATATTTCCACAGTGTTCAGTTTTTATATTAAGTTTCTTCAACTGTCCTTTGAAGTTCAGCTGAAATTTCAGTTTCCAAAGCCGCCTTTCTCTCCTTCAACAACTATTCAGAGCCACACCCATAAAACTTTGGCATTGCTATAAGACTGAATATTGCCCTAGTTCCCTTGCAGGAAAAATGAAAACCTAACAGGCATAGGAAAAAAGCTCTGAAGTAGTCATCATCTGGTAGTCAGCTTTGCTGCTTATGGAGCATCTTTTTATTAGTGCAAGCATTCAGATACATAAGTCTCACCTGCATTTTGAAGTAGTATTGCAGTGTATTTATTTTATTCAATTTAACACTGCCCAATGTTAATGACTTTAGGCCAGGCTGTTAAACTGGCAGCCTGCGGGCTGGATGCATCACGTGCAGGCCACGCCCCCCAGCTCCGCAAAGGCAAAAATCTTCATGACATGTCACGATATGTCATGTGACACAATCGAGTTTGACACCCATGCTCTAGGTGGTTCACAAGAAAACAGCAGGATTATATTATATGGCTTTTTTGTCTGCTTTTTCATTTTGGGAGATGTTCTTGTTGAAAGTCATTTATTTCATCACACTGTTGAGTAACGTAAAAGTTCTTAGGCTCATGTAATGAAACAAATGATCACGGCCCAAAATATATCCTAGAATAATACTTTAGCATATGGTGAAATATGGTGTAGTAAGCTTAGAGGGAAAGGAAGATTGAAGCAGATATGAGCATTGCTAGGATACAGTATTTATGGTGTTGGTGGAGGACTGAGGAAATCCAAATTCTAATCTACTCATGGCTGTAGAAGCTCATAGAGTGATTTGTGACCAATTATTCTCATTGTCCAATCTACCAACAATTGTATGTTGGTTGGGCATACAGTCACCCAGACGTTTACACATATTTGGCATTGTTTATCCAGCTATCAAGTCCTTTCCAGAGACCTGAGATTTGCAGATGTTGCTGTTTGATGATATTAAAGGTATTGTGACAGGTTGTAAGCTGTATTATTCTGGTTATCATTTTTGGGATAACATGAAGGGAAAATATCATGTAAGCAACTTTGTGTTCCTGGAGGAAAGGTGTGATATAAATCCAACGCATCAAAATTTCAGGAAGAGTATTTGTTTTGGGAATTTCCCTTTAAATCTAATAAACTCCATGAAGTTCATTAAGCCATTAAAGTACTTAACCGCAGAAGAAAATAGTGTCAATGATTGATGCCATATTAAGGGACCTGTAGAGCTTCCAAAGATCTCCCAAACCTTTTCAGGACCAATTGCAAATCCCTTGATCTTCTGTAGGCTGATTAGTGAAATATTAATTGTCCTGCCCACAATTTTCTGTAGTTGCCTAATATTGTACAACAATACCCATAATCTTTAGAATATAAAAGTTATTTTCCCCACACACAACACTAGGTGTTCAAGGAAGCACCCACCAGATTGAGAGAACTGGAGGGGGATGTTCATCAGCAGCATCTTGTGCCAAAGTCCTCTGGTAAGTCTTAAGCAGAAAATTACCTCTTTGGAGAAACATTTAGGTATATTTTTGTCATCTTAGTAAAACTTAAAGTAGATAAAGAAGCAGATGTCTGTTTATTTTGATTTTGAAGAAAAATGATACTTTTACTTTAAAAGAGCATAAAATGTATTTTGAAAAATGCACTTGTAATGTATTCGCTTAACAAGAGAAAATAGTTTGTAGTTGCACTTTTTGAAAATTAGCACTTGGGTGTTTTTTCATTTATATGATTTAGAGAATCAGGAAGTAAATGTCGCTTATGAAAATCAATGGCGGTTCTTTGACTGCAAAATGAACGTTTTAATTTATCCCCCCCCCCCATAGTAAATTAAGAAGAGCAGCAGGTTGTGAATTTACCCTCACTGACAGCTTACTGCTGACTTGTGTTTGAATGTTTCAGAACTGTTTTGAATGTGGTAATCAGAGAGTGAATTTCTCTCACCTCACCAAGCTGTCAAAGATTTGAGATTTTGCAAAAAAATGACAGCAGCAATCTTTCTAGTTATGTATCTAGAGGTTAGATTAAATGATGAATTGGTGACTATTTAGACATATGGAAAGAAGCTATTTTCAGAATCCTATCTCTTAACAGTAAAATCCTGACAGTTTTAAATGGTTAGTGTAGAATAGAGGTACAAGAGGACTAATAGGAACTACAAGAGGGATTGTGGTATTTTGCTTTTCCAATGTAAATAAATTCTAGATAATAAGTACAAGTTGAAATATCAATTCAATTATGTTGGTTGTTTAGGTTTCCCTGTTCACCAAACAACAGTGCTTGGGTCTTCTGCCTCAGAAAATGTGGCACAAACTCAGCATCATTTGGAAATCTCGACACCTGCTGATTTGGATCAGACTACAACAGAATTGGCTGACTGGTTGGCATTGATCGACCAGATGCTAAAGTCCAATATAGTTACTGTTGGAAATATTGAAGAAATCAATCGGATGATTGCACGCATGAAGGTATGTGATGCTCTGGGGTGCAACTGGAAAGCCTTAGAATATTAGTTAATCCCTTTCACTGGTTTTTTTGTGTTGTTGTTCAGTAAAATTCTGTCACGGTATTTCACAATTATTTAGAAAATAAATCCAAAGAAGAATAAGGATTAGAGCAGGGGTGTTAAACTCAAGGCCCTCAGGGTTGCCATGGAAATAACGAAGGACTGGCCCGTGGTGCCCCTGCCAGCAAAAACGGAGCTTGGAAGGGCTACACACAGCCCTACCAGGCTGTGTTTTCAACTGTGACAGCCTCCTGCAGCCCTCTGCCTTTGAAAACAGAGCTCTGTTTTCACCGACAGAGGATTGCAAAAGGCCGTTGTGGGTGAAAATGGAGCTCAGGAGCCTGTTTTCACTGGCAGAGCACTCGGGCCCCCAGAGGTGTCCAGACACAAGTGATGTCAAGCTGGCCATGTCCACCCTGGTCATGCCTACCCCAGCCCCCGAGGTCAAACACAACCCTGATGTGGCCCTCAATGAAATCGAGTTTGACACTCCTGGATTAGAGCATTCTTCTGCTTATTTTTGGTATTGTCAAGATTTTAGCAGTATCAATGACTAGTCAGGAAGACTGAATGCCCTTTTTAAATGTTCGCCCAATTCTGCAAATTATTGCTTTGGTTTCCTTGCTTGCCCAGGAACTATTTTAGAGCAACTGGCAGGGAATTCAGTGGACTTTTCCCATTCTTGTTCATGGGACTTAAATCCATTCCATTGCAGCACAATAATATTTTGTGTGCAGTGTCTCTGATCGCACATCATCATACTCTGTTAAGATACAGGAGTGCTGTCTTTTTTCCCCTGCCCCAAGGAAACTGCTGTGGAGCATTGATAGAAGAAAATGAGCCATGCTTCACAGAGTCAGGCTGAGCATAAATTTGCTCACTGAAGCAGGTGCACACAGCTTTGCTTGATCAGGAATGTGCACATTTACTGTTAGTTTTCATAAGAAGCCCAGGAAACCTATAATACATTTTAGAATACCTATTTTATTTTTTTTTCCCCCTGCATCCAGTGGCGTATAAAACATTGGCATTGTTTCAGGGTCTGACTATTTTTTAAAACCAGTCCAATGTTTAAATTGACTGCCAGGTATATTGAACATGGGTATTGTTGCTAGAACAAGTTCACTTTTATGTATGTATTTTATTCATTTGTTCTTTCATTTGTTCAGTCAGAGAAGTGACTCTGGGTGGCAAATAATCATAAAATCAGTTAACACCAAGTGCAAAGATACGTGTGTGTGTGTGTGTGTTTGTGTGTGTGAGAGAGAGACAGAGACAAAGACAGACTGACTGACTTTTGACATACTTGGGGCCTCAGGCCTAATTTCATAACCAGCTTTTCAAGGCCTTACAAAGGGCCAACAGGGTTGGGGCCATCCTACTCTCTGGAGGCAGAAAGTTCTAGAGGTCAGGGCCTATGGCAGAGATGGCATACCTCCTACCCCACATTCCTTGGCTGATGGGATCCTTAGCATGGTCAACTTGCTGGACCAAATTGGACAGTTAAAAACAACTGGTCCCTCATGTAACTTGGTCCCAAGCTAAGAAATGCTTTAAAGACGACAAGCAGTTCTTTGAATTGCACAGAAGCAGCTATAAGAGTCTTCTCCACTTCCTCAGATACAATAGGATCAAAATTTCCCAGAGAAGCATGCAGGATTCTGCCTCTTTGGAGTAACCTTCAACTGAAATGTTACTATTAGTTTCAGCTCATCTATTCAACTTAAAATAATTAAATTCAAATTGAAATAGGTTAATTGCCTTGCTCAAGAATTGTTAATCATTAAGATCCAGCTCTAGTCAAGCTGCAATTGAATTTCAGGAGAAATGAGAATATTTTATGCTGGCATTTACAATTTGCCAACAGAAGTTAACGGGGAAATGGTTACAGAAACCTATGCTGACATTTTCTTTGCTACTGATGTTAGCAGCATATGGATGCAATTTGTAACAAATAACTTGAGGATAGAGCTGGGCATAACGTATCATAGACAGCAATGGACGAATTAATTGCTTGTAAGAATATATTTAATGTAATTTAATAGAAAAATCTCAACTTTTCAGCTGTCATTTTTTAGATCAAGTATTCTTCGTGGCCTTAAAATGGAGATGAGCAATAACAACAATTACGGAGAAAATCCACAGGGACTCCTTTTCTTTGTATTTGGTTTAATGGCACAGGGTCAGAAATAGATATTTTTTTCTTAGCAATTTGCCGAGGAAAAAGTGTGCATGTATGAATATGTGTGTATCTACAGTATATACCTGTGTGTGTGTACATGTGTGTGAGTGGGAGGGAGAGCAAACGAGTGCGCAAGTGAGTGCTTAGTAACTAAGTAGCTACTGGTATATGTCTGTGGAGATTCTCAGTCATTCAGGTCATAAGTACTTTCTCCAAAGACAACTGGACTGTTTTTTCTTTGAAGAATAACAAAACTTTTCATTTCTCATCCAAGAAACTTCATCAATTGTGATGGGGAAGGTTGGGGAAGGGATGAAGGATAAGTACTTGACAGCTGGGACTGGGTGGTGGGGGATGGAAAGATCTACTACTACCCTGTTGGTGGGGGGAGAATCAGAGTTTTAATCAACAGGGATTTTATTAAAACTTCTGCAGTAATAAAATCCCTGTTGATTAATACAGTACACTCAGAATAAACAGTGTCTAAAACCTGGGATCAACATTGAGAACCAAAATCCTTGGAGCAGAGAAACATAAATAATGTCTCTTGGAATCTTAGAAAGAAAGTATGAAAGTATGCAGCCTTTTATGAATCAATATGAATTTTATACAGCTTTATTTCCACTCACTTCGCGAGAGTAAAATCTCTAAATTTACTATGCAAATCTAACAGGTGGTTAACCCCTATTTCAACTTTCTTAAATTGGTAGCCTTCAGGTGTGAGTTACTATATAATTCCAAATTGCCAACATCATGACCTTATTGCCTGGAAATTCTGGGAATTGTAATCGCAACACATCAGATCATGATTTCTGACTGGGTTTGTCTATTATTTATTTTGAATACAGATTATAATGCAGAGCTTTTTAAGGCAGATTACAAAGTGATTAAGACACACTTCTTTGTTAATATTTTGAAGCATTGGTTTGAATCACTTTGTTTTTCTTAAACTCCTGTCACTACTAGCACATTTTTATTCCATTATGTTACAGATAACAGAAGGGGATTTAGAACATCGACATCCCCAGTTGGATTACGTTTTTACTTTGGCTCAAAATCTGAAAAACAAAACTTCAAGTTCTGACTTAAGGACAGCAATCACAGAGAAATGTATGTTATTTTTGTTACTAGACTGAACAGTAGAGAAATGGGAACTAAAAATGATATAATAAATATATAACTATTACATGATTTATTGACAAAATGATGGATATAGAATGGAATAACCCAGGTGGAATTGAGGGTAATCAAACATCGAGAGATGAAGGCAGGGTTAATCCTGATACCAATAAAGGAGCATATTTGTAGCTCAGGATTGACCTGAGGGTTCTTGGTGCTCTCTGAGTTTGCTTGTTTTCTTGCAGACATTTCATTACCCAAACTAGGTAACATCATCAGTGTCAGTCCCACTAGCACTGACGATGTTACCTAATTTGGGTAATGAAATGTTTGCAAGAAAACAAGCAAGCTCAAAGAGTACCAAGAACTCCTTAATCCTGATAGGCAAAAGGAAGAAATGAGAATGAAGATTTATAACAGAGGTCTCCACACTTGGCAACTTTTAAGTCTTGCGGACTTCACATCCCAGAATTCCTCATCCAAATATGCTGGCTGGGGAATTCTGTGAGATGAAATCCACAAGTCTTAAATTTGCCATATTTAGAATATAGCGAGGTATCTTGCTTATGGTGTTGCTTGACATTAGTTATTTATATTCACATTTTTGGATTTCATTGGTTTTAAAGATTAATGAACTGGAACTTGGAGATGTGAGTTTTAAAAAAGATTTATTATATGATGTGTTTTGAACAGTGTTGGCAAGTCACATGATTAAACAATGTTAGATCCAGTTTTTATGTACAATTTTTGTCTTAAGTTTCTATTTTTTAAAAATATAAAAATGAATGCCTATATTGGAAGTTAATAAGAATGAGAAAAAAGCAGATGGAATAAGGGATATTTTGCTAAGATAGTTTGGTATCAAAGATACTGGCACTAATCTAAACAATATAACATTGTCAACCAACGTAATATTGTCAAATTAAGATAGGCATATTGTGTATTTTGGGGTTTGTATTATAGAAGTAGATTTGACACTCCCTCCCCAGGATTATGGGAATCTATAAGAGTATTTGGATCCAATGTCAATTTGAGTGATTTTTTTTTTAAAGATTAGTTTTAGTAGTAGAAAAATGAAGATGATGCAACGTTTTCGGTGTCTTTTCATGGGACTAGATTTATCTTCTGTCTGTTTCAGTGGAGAAAGTTAAGAACCAGTGGGATGGTACTCAGCATGGGGTTGAAGTACGTCAGCATCAGCTGAAATGCATGCTTACTGACAGCATAAAATGGGATGACCAGAAGCAAGAAATGGAGAAGATAATTGGACAGTATGAGGTCCATCTACATGCTCTCTTACAGTCTTCTAAAGAAAAGCTTACCAAACAAATTTCAGAAAACAAAGTGAGTTCAAGTATGCTTTCTAATGCAAAGCTGTGGTTCATAGATTCAGTTTAACATCTTACTCCTGTCATACAGTTAATTTCATAAAGACAAATAATGTGATACAGCTCCTTCTGATACACCTGCAAATTGAAGAGTTTTATGTAAAAGCCCAGGCAGTAGGATTTCTATACTTCGTAGCTTGAGCTTTTTTTTAGATACCATCCAGACCCTTTTCCATTTTTAGTTTAAAAAAAAAAAGCAGCCAAAACTTGGGGAACTGCCAAGTTAGAGCTGGGGAGGGCAGGGGAGGGAGTGATTGTGGTGTTCATGACCTTCTGCTGATTAAATTAAGGAGTGGTGCATGTGTCTTCTAATTGGATTAAAATGAATTTTCCACAGATATATTACTGCTTGCCAGTGCTTACCTGACATTAAATCTCATCCATCCCTGATGTGTGTGTATATGTGTACACACACACACACACACACACATTCAGAATCTTGATGGGAAGAACAGACCAATTTTTACCATTCTTTTAGCAGTTTAGGAACATTACTTTTTATTGTTTAAAACAGAACAGATTCCTTTCTGATTAACCCAGAGACATTAATTTTTTTTATCTAAAATCCTATACTTATATTTGAATGGGGGCATTACTTATTCTTGTGGGCCCTTTGTTGCAAAATGTCATTGATTTAGTTCAAGATATTGACTCAGAGTTTACTTGCAGTCTTAAACATCTTTTTTCATCCTAATCTTGTATTGTCTCTCCTTTACTGCCTGCTCCATCTTTGTAGAGTTAGAAATCTTCTGCGTCTGTGCTTTCCCAGAGTTTTAATTTGTCTGGAGAATGATTTATCTTTGTTAAAGCACCCATTGTCTTATAAAGCACTCTTAATCTAGTTACCAAATTAAACCATTTTCTGGGCCTTTACAAGGTTGGGTATATATGCTGGGCTCAAACAGAAGCATCAGGTTTTTTTCTGAATATGTTTGACAACCTTTATCCTCTCAGGAAAAAAGAAAAAGCCAGCATTTGTTATCTTTCAGTATCCTTTCAGTAATCACACCAGCAGAGTGCTAGCAAAAGAAACTACTAGCAAAAATGGCATTTGAGCGCATGAGTGATGTCAAGTTGGCCACTCCCACTCTGGCCACTCCCCCCAGGTGAAACACAACCCTGATACGGCCCTCAATGAAATGAAGTTTGACACCCCTGGCACAGGTTGTGTCTCAACATAGGAAATGATCTCGGAGTATCAATTTCTCTCTATATGGCCTCTAGGCTGCAAACTCCATTTAATGCAGTCTTTCTTTTTCAGTTTTTCTGCTTTCTCTCATTTTCTGCAGCTTTTCTAAAAAGCACAAGAAAAAGCTTGGCGCATTGGTCAAATAATACTATTGTACAGTTGCTGAATCTTCAACCTGCTTTCTACTTTTGTTATCTTTCCCTTTGTTATCTGCTGTTGCTTCATAAAATCTGTTGAGTGAGTTTTGCTTGTAATTCATTTCCCAGTTTGCTCTCCCATTTTGCCTTCAGTCCATTTATTCTAATGAAAATGTTCAATTTAAGACAGATATTTTAGCCTCCATATTGGTAATTTTGCTAATTCTGTCTTCTCCTCTACTAAAACGTAAGAATGAGATTTCTAGAAAAAAACTTCTAGAAGTAATGTTCTGTTTCTACAATGGGAAAAATGAGTATGACCTGAATTTTCATTTGTACAATTTGTTGCAACAGTTTGCTTTGCTTAACTTAATAGAAATGGTGATATAGATATTGTTCCCTGGTTGCAAAAAGGTGCAAAGCATTCAGTCCCATGGATTAAACCACTAGGAATTTGATGCCCATTCCACCATTGCTGGTTTAGTCAACTTCATAAATTTTTAATGAAAAACAGCAACTAAATGATTAGAGATTTTGACTACTGTGTATTTACTTTTTAGATATTAATGCAAGATCTAGATAAAGGAGATGCCAGGATCATTTCATTTAATGAGCTGTCAAGTAAACTTCTTCAAGATTACAGTGGTGATGACACAAGAAATGTGAAGGAAATTATGAATCACTTGAATACCTCATGGATTAACCTGAAGCACAGGTATGTATGTCTAAATTATACATAGGTGCACTCACCTCCACATTTCTAAGATGTGAAGAATAGAAATTATGTTACTGGGCAGCAAGATACGATTTAAATTGGGGACTATTTTCTTTCTTATCGTGGTATGTATGATTAAATCAAGAAGCCTGACATTTCTTATAGCTGTAACAAGAAAGGGAGCTGATTGGTCTTCTTACTCTCAAACAGGTAGTCCTTGATTTACAACCACAATTGAGCCCAACATTTATGTTGTTAAGTGAGACATTTGTTAAGTGCATTTTTTCCCATTTTATGACCTTTCTTGCTTCAGTTGTTAAGTGAATCACTGCAGGTAATAAGTTAGTACCTTATTCTATCTCTTGGATAATAGACTAGTCTCATAATATATGTACCTAGATCTATACACCCAACTGTTCAGCAGCTGAAGAAAAGGGAAGAGGGAGGTTAAGTACCATATATTATTAATTTAAGATAAGACAAGCTTGCCATTGAGATAAGAGGAGCTGACCAAATACGTTTTGTGGAATTTTTGCTGTGACTCGGAAATAGATGTAGCAGAATCTGTTTCCAAAACATCCTTTGACATTTAATAGATAGATGCAGGATTTGTGTTTTTTCTCCCCACCTCTCCCCCCATCCGCAGTCAGACAGAAAAGACTGTCACTTCTACTTCCTGATCTAAAGCAATAATGATTTGGTCCTAATTTCACTTGAATTGAAGGAGGTTCTGCTAAGGGGATCTTTTCATTGATGGTATGTCAGTTGTGAAGTAGCTTCTGCAGTTGATATCCCTAGCATGTATTGTATTCTTTTCAGAATCAAGTGAAAACCATTTTCTTTCATGTAATTTAGCCTTTCTTATGTTAAAATGGTTATAGAGCCCCAAAATGGTTAGCCACTACTGTTATAATGCCACTTTTCATCAACTGTGTGATTTGAATATATACGCAAGTTTATCTGAGGGAATGTCTACTTGACCCATTAGAGTGGGAGTCAGGGAATGCTGCGGGTCCCATTCCTGAGTGAGATATACCTGGTGGGTTACAGAAGAAAGGCCTTCTCCGTGGTGGCTCTCTCTCTCTCTGGAACATCATTCCCCAGAGATTAAAATGGCCCCCTCTCTAATACTCTTCCAGAAGGCACTGAAGATCTGGTTCTGCCAGCGGGCCTGGGGAACCCAGAGTGGGATGGAGCCCATCAAAGGCTCATGCGATCTGCTGTCTTTGGGAGTTGAGGGGTGGTTTTTTAATTTATTTTTTTTCCAGATTTTGTTCTATTGTACTTTATTAATTTGTTTGATTCTTTTTGTTAGTTTTTATTGTTTTTTTATTTTAAATATGGTTTTACATTCTGTAAGCCACCTCAAGTTGCCATGGGTGAATAGGTGGCAATATAAATTCAGTAAAATAAATAAATAAAGTTCAAATAATTGTTTGCATTCATTGTGTGAGAAGCTTTTCCATTTACTCATTCACAATCTTCAACAGGTGTGTGCCATTCTTTTCCTCGTACTGGCAGTTTTGTACCTTGTGCATCTCAAGGAGAGGACTTGTGTAGTTTTCATATGTTTTCATGTTATTATTTTAGTATAAAATATAGTACAATTATGGCATAAGTTTTAATACAAAAAGAGTACAGCACTAGTTCCTAAAGCTGTACATAGCATATAACAAATGCATGCTAAATGTGCTGAGTCACCCAAAGAGTAATGTCTTCTCACTTTCCTGTAATCACTGATTTTTTCCCTCCTTCCCTTCTATAGAACTTGCAATAGGCAGAATTGTTTGGAGGCTGACCTGAAGACAGTACATGCCTTGCTCAGAGACCTTGAAAAGTTCCTCAAGTGGATACAAGAAGCAGAAGCGACAGTTAATGTCCTTGCAGATGCATTGCAACGGGAACCCACTACTTCGGGAAGGGGTCCTGGAAGGGAACTGAAGAAGCAGATTGAGGTAAGAGGATGACTAATTCTATATGTGAGAATATTTTCTATGTTTTTCTAGACCTTAAAATGGTAAAATCCATTTTCGGCTGCTAAATAATCTTACTAAAGGATAACTATAAGATTAATGCAGAAGATAAAACTTGTCAGCACAGGATAAATATTTAAAGGGTGGTCATTAAATGTCTGCTGAAAGAAAAGCAAGTGACTTGTTGAAATTGAGTACCTGTCTCCTGAAAATGAACAGAGAGCAAATGTTTTATTATTGGATTGATAATAAAGTTTATAGTTCCTTCAGAGAAGCACCTACCATTTTCTTTGCCTATTGGAGAAAAGGTTTATGTGTCTTGATTAGCCACGCAACAAATCCAGTGTTAGTGCCTTACATATCTACCAGAACAATCATAAATTGAGATCTCCCTGAATGGCAACTTCCTAAGCAACCAAGTTGCCCTCCTTTTCTTCTTGTCTGATCAGAAGGAAATAAGAGACAGTTTTTGCCCAGTGTGTTGCTATGAGTTACCTCCTTATATATGTATATGAGGAAAGAATGATTGCAGTATGTTTGTTTGGCAGTAGAAAGGAAACTGTGCAGAGGTGTCTTACTTTTTCTCAACAGATTTGGGTCTTCCACTTTTCTCTGTCTCACACACACATTGCTGTTCACTCTAGTTGGAAAAAAAACCCCTTGTTCTGCATCAGCTTTATGGGAAGATTGACCAATGATGGGGCATGCTTGCAAAAGAAAAAGAAAGAAAAAATAAATAATGACCTTTCTTGTTCTATATAAATAAGTATGGGTAAATCCACACTAATGAAACTAAAAGAATAGCTTTAAAAACCTTCATCTGGTTCATTTTTATTCAGTCAGTTTCTTTTATATTTGTTTCTGAGCAAATCATTTATTTTGAAGATGCGTGATTATAATGCAGTTACCTCTTTATCAATTAACTTCTATAGATTACTCAGTTCATTGCTTCCTTTTACCCCCAACTGGATGAAGTTTAAAGTTACAGTTGCTGAAATTCATTCAAATGCTACAACAAATCTGAATTTCACATTCCTAGATGGCCTTAGATGAATGAGTAATTTAGAATGTGCTCAATGTTGGTTCTGAATGTTTTTATGTTGAAAATAATTACAAGACAGCTTTTGTGTTAAAGTAATTACAAGATGGTTTTTTATGTTAAAGCAGCCTTAAAATAATTCAAGGACAAATGTATTTTGAAGACCGTTTGGAAAATGAATGGCTCTATCTCAACATATGGTAACTTTTAATCACAGTTCATTGTGATTTCACCACTATAAAGTATTGGCAATAGTAGGACAAATTATTGTAATTCTATAAAAATCTGTCACTCTATCTGATGAGTTTCATGATTGCTTCGTGATGCATTTGGGAAGATGAGGACAAAGATATAACCATATTCATCTTGCTATCAATGTACGTTCTGTCTGGAGAAATCCATATTGGCTTTCAAGCTCTGTTAGTTGAGTAATGTAATTTAAGCAGGCACAATTTTCCTGGAGCTGTTCTTACATTGGAGAAAACATATGAAGGTTCTGTATTATATCATGTAAACATTTAATAGTTGTTTTCATCCTGAAGACAAATACATGTATGCTTTCTCTATGAATCATTTGCTTTCAGAATCATCTACTATAATGTAACATTGCAAATAAATTGGACAAAGTGCATATTTCATAGTCATGCCTGTAAACAGTGAAAAAACAGGCCTTTGATGGCCAGCAAAATTACATTTGGTTTCAGCTAGTGAAAATTTGCGAGTGATACTGTAAATATGCAGAACTCATTGTGAAAACATTCCTTCATGGGGTTATGGCTAAGATATGGCGCATAGGGTTAGATACATGATTGCTAATTTTTAGACAATGTCTATTGTTTGGAAAAGACATTTTTTAGAAACATTCTGGAGGCCGTTCTTCCTAGTGGTTTCACATACAATAGTTATATTTTTGTTGTTGCTCACATAAATTTTTCTCTTTGGTTACAATTATACTTTCTCTTTTGTAGGGCTTTTTAAATGCACAGCCTTCTCGGTTGGTTTGGACTGTCTCTTTGAATACTATTTTTTTCAGTTGGCTGATCATGGATGTCAGGGTCCACAATTCCATTAGCAAAAATTCTCAAGCACGCTTCTCACATTGCCTGAATCAGAAGTGGAGGAAAGGAGGTGCTCCTTCAGGAGTTTTTTATATTTTTTTTTTAAAAAGGCATACAAAAATATACGAATAGCTCAGTGAACAATAGTTCCTTAAAAATGGGATTGATTGAGACAATGCAATCAATATGTAATCAAAGTAAAGCTTAATAGCTTGACATTCTGTCATCCCTGGAAAATATCATTTCTGTCATTTTTATTAGTTTGTTGTGTTCCTTCTTCAGTTCTGCACATTTTGAGCCAATATACATTATATAGCTATTTACCAGGCATTGCTGACTAACTGCTGTTGAGGATGAATGAGTTCATACTTCAAAGAATAAAGGACAGTCTCTATTTAATGTAACTGAGATCACCCAACAGAGAGAGTACATTTGAAGTCTCTCTCGTTGAGTAAATACAATCTGAGATGGGTTTGAGCTTTGGACTAGATGTATAACCAAATTATTCTCTTCTGACAAAAAACTTTAGAAGCGTGTGTGTATGTGTCTGTGAGTGAATGAGTGAGATTTATTCCTTGATGCATTATATCATTGGCATGCATTTGGTTGGTAGGGGGGTTTCTGTTAAACATTGAAGTCTGTTTTATATTTTTTCCTAAGTGAATAATAATAATAATAAAAAAATTTCAATATAAATTAAATGTCAGAATTATATAGAAGAATAGCTATTTTCCTGAATTGGGTTACTAATTCTGTATGTTTCACATTTTCTTTTTATGTTATAGAGACATTTAATTTTAGTCTAGAATGCTTCTGAAATATGAATGAGATGTTTGAACTGATATGGAGTTATTTTCTGTCAGTTATCACTCTATCTAGTCTTTCATTTCATATGAATTATTTTTAGTTGTTTAAGCAATCTGTTTGTGTTATACAATGAACTGCATGTAATCAGATAATTTTGTCTGAAGAGGCTCCAGTGTGTTTATAATGAATTATACATGTAAAAGAATAAGCATCACACTGCTCATTATGTTCTGTCCTTAAGAAAAGTACTTGATTGATGGGATTTTTAACTTTGTCATGCATTTTTCAAGGAAGATTTTTTGTTCCACTACCTATGATATGGCTACTTTAGTTGGTTATACCTTCATTAAATATAAATGGTAAAATCTTTCAGCCTGTTTAACTTTGTATTGTGAAAGAACACTTCATAAGTCCCAGATCCGTGTATTATGAATGACATTTCAAAGCACTGAAAGGATGAACACACATGCCTCTTTGCGATTATTAGAGTTATATTTTGCTTTTTGACAGGAAGGCGAAGTGGCAGGCAGTATGTCCCTTTCTCCAGAGAATAGGCTTTTCTTGATGTTACTGCACTGTAGTGTCCTTAGCAAACAGAAAAAGCACGATTAAAACATTTGAGCGGAAAGCTTAAAATCTTTCACTGATGTTATTTCCTGGTTATTTCCATCCAGTTGCTTAGAGAACTTGAAAGCAAACCATTGTAACTGCTTTGCTAGGGGTCAATTTAGGAGATAGGACTAATGCTTTCATCTGTGTGTCCTAGATGAAATTAGAATAAGGGAGCTGTGCCCAGCTGAATCCAAGTTTCTATCCATCTATCAAAGAAAATAATGCTGACTAAAAATTCCTAAGATGGCATTGAAATTGTATTTTTGGTTGCATGCACAATTTTGGTTGCATAAATTTAAACTGGATCTTACTGAAATGTTTATTTAAACCCAAAGTGGTAGTGTCAAAATGACTATTTGGATTGCATGTTAATAGCATTATAATTTTTTTAAAAAGCTAATGAGATTGAGATATAGCAATGCTGAGGATCAGAGGTGGTATACAGCAGGTTCTGACCAGTTCTGAAGAACCAGTAGCGGAAATTTTGAGTAGTTCGGAGAACCAACAAATACCACCTCTGGCTGCAGATTTTATAGTATCCTTTCCCTGCCATGCCCACCAAGCAGAGCCCACAGAACCGCTAGTAAAAAAAATGTGAATCCCACCACTGCTGAGGATGGCAGAATGAAGTAAAATATTCATGTACTATTAAAATAGAACTAAACTAAAATTAGTAAAGAGTTATTGTATATTGTCAAAAATGTTCTTGCCACATGTTAGAGAGAAAACATTCTATTTTAAGGAGATTGGTGATGCGGTAAGGAACATTGATTCATAGCATCAGAAAACAAATAAACTACCTGGACAAAGTGTAAGCAAGCAGATTCTTATGCTAAGAAAGCTTAAGAAGCAAATTCTTTTTCTAAGTTAATTAGAGGCCTGGAAAAAATTGTTAGGTTGGCTAATTATTTCTGAAAAAAACCAACTCTACTACAACTGTAATCCATATGTGTGTCAGTAAAATAGTCAGTGTTGCTGACACCTTTGTTTAATCTATAATCTTAAACAGTATCCTGTGGGAAGATACACAGAAAGACAATACTTGCATATTACCTTTGTATGTTTATCTTTACAATATTCCCTTAGGAGGTAAGCATTGTTATGGATAGCTCAGAAAAGGATAAGAAATTTTAAGTGAAGAAAATAAGGCTGCATTTTCTCTAAATTGAGAAATAAGAAATAAACTTCCTCACATTCATGCATTCCATACTGCATGAATATGAGGAAGTTTAAACACATACTGCAAAATTAGAAAACTAACAAAAAGTTTAACTAATGTATTAGTTAGAAGCATTGGAAATTGCTGTAAACAGATAACAGATAATCAGAGTTGGAAGGGACCTTGTAGGTCATCTAGTCTAACCCCCACCCAAGCAGGAGACCCTACACTATTTCTGACAAATGGCAGTCCAATCTCTTCTCAAGTGATGGCGCTCCCACAACTTCCAAGGGAAAGCTGTTCCATT